AGCGGCACGGATTAGGGGGATGGAGAAGGGTAGGGGTAGGGCTGCGGAGTCGATAACTGGGAAGGACGGAAGGAGGGGTGAGATGGAGGGGAAGGGGAGTCATATGGTGGGGCGGGGAGGAGGGGGAGAATGGGAAGGGGAGAGAGGGAATAATGGGTTACTACTACAAGGTCTGCATGTTAAACTTTCCTGAGCTGTATTTGGTTGAAGATTTATTGTTGTTGTTGTTAACAGGTTGCGCGAAAGTGATTAGTAGTAAACCATCTAAATTACTGGGACCGTCTCAAAGCTCTCAAGATGTATTCTCTGGAAATGAGACGAGAGAGGTATCAAATAACATATACATGGAAAATACTGGAAGGCCAAGTACCAAATTTGCACAGTAGAATAACAAAATACTGGCGCGAAAGATACGGAAGGAAATGTGAAAAAGAACCAGTGAGGAGTAGAGGTGCCATAGGCACAGAGAACGCTAAACATCTGAGATCCACAGCTGTTCAACTTATTTATTATTAACATCTTTATTGACAAAATTAATTACAATTTTGCCTAATCTGAGGATTTTGATAGTCTTATTAAATTGAGGTTAATGCTAGTATTCACTGTCACGCGGGTCGTAACAAAGGTGGACTTCTTCAAAACCAATTATATAAGTTCTTGCAAGAAGTGCCGGACCAACCGGGCTGTAGTGGATATTTGGGTCTACAGCAACTGCAAGCAACAGCCTGTTGGACAAAGTTATTACAAGTCGAGTCTGGCCCCAGGTCGGGCTCGGGAAGCAGAACTCTGAGACCCTCTCCTGGTAAGATCCAGGTAAGATTGGCTGGTCTATGGGGCGTAGACTGATGGGTGGTGTTGGATTGGTCTGTGGTGATTAGGCTGGTGTGCTTGGTGATTGGTTTGTCTGTGATGAGTAGGCTGATGTGTGGTGATTGGACTGGTGTGTGGTGTGTAGGCTGATATATGATGATTAGGCTGATCTGTAGTGTGTTGTGTGTTTCTGTGTCGTGAGGAGCCTGGTGTGTGTTGAGTGGACAGCTTAACACAGCAGACCTGTCTACTCAACACATTGGGCATTGGGTAGGTGACCTGGCCAGGGGCGAGGGAGCTGGTCATGTGATTAGTGTGCTGACCATGGGTGATAGTGGCATGGTCTCATAGTAAGACATCCAAATAAGAGACAAGAGTACTGCTTAACTAAGTAATTATAACCCAACACACTTAACTTCATTGTGTTTTCCCAGGAAACCTTACATACATTATTACTTCTGTAGCCTCCAATTTGATTTCATTAAGATTTAGTATTATATTATACATATGGAAACACAGTCTTATGCATGATGAGACATCCGTAAATGGGGTCCCTGAAGATTTGTTTACGCCATTTATATATCTACGAAAATAGTATGGCTAGAGCAGCCGCTGCAGTTAGTTGTGGGCTGGTCTGAGGCGAGTAGTCGACTGGTCTTAGGAAAGATGTAGTGGCTGGTCTGAGGGTAGAGCAGCAGGTGACCAGTGACCATGATATGAAGCAACAAGCCACCCGCACCGTCCAGTTACACGCCTCACCTGGGTCAGGTAATTGGCCTGAGGGAAGGTGCAGAGGAGTGGGGAGGAAGGGCAGGGAGGAGGGCGAGGAAGAAGAGTGAGAAGAATTGCAGCCGACGGTATGTGAGGAGTGAAAAAGAGAAGGGAGAGTGGGAAATAGGAACGGTGAATAAAAAATGTAGTCTATCAAAGGTTCAAAATCACTATGCACCCGTATGAAGATGCTCTGTGTCAGTACCATTGACTGAAATATCCTGAGATAGATGCAGGTGTAGTAAGAAATGGAAAGGAGTTGTCTATGGAGTAAGAAGCGCGAGGAGTCGTATGGGAAGTGCAAGGGATTTAAGGAACGAGGCTCGTAGAGAAGAATAACTTATGGAATATTCAAAGGATTTGGACACGCAGAGAGAATGGATGGTGACAGTTTGATGAGTGTACAGAAGTAAAGGGGAGGAGAGGAAGCAGGGGCGTGTGGCCAAGGGGTGATGCGTCCATATGGCAGAGCCTGTGGAATAGTTTGTGGGTGAGAGGGGGCGTGGTGGTACAGTGGTGTGTGTGTGTGTTAATTTGTATGGGTTGTTAAGTGTCCAAATGATGGAGTGTTTTGAGGAGTGTGTGGTGCGAGGGATTGTCTGTATGGTGTGAGTATGGTGGGAATGATTGTTGGTATAGTGCTGTGAGTGTGTTACATGAGAGAGGAGGGATCAACATGAGAGATAGGGGTTAACATAAGGGGGACAACATGAGAGAGAGGAGGGGGTAAACAGTTTCCTGGAAACAGTACTTTGAAAACAGTATACTGGAAACAGTATTCTGGAAACAGTTTTCTGGAAACAGTATTCTGGAAACAGTTTTCTGGAAAAGTATTATTTAAAGAGACAAACTGAACACGAAAACAGGTGACGGCATATCCAAACAAAAAGACTGACAAAATTAAGTCTTATAACGGGTGCGGCACATCGGGGCCTTTTCAAAGTCAGACCCGGAGACCTTTTTAAGGGTTATGGCATATCGGCGCCATTCAAAAAATCACAATGGCGCCGCTACGCCTTAACCCCCACCCACTACTGAGCTGTGTGCTGCGCGGGGAGTGAACCAGCGGTTGTGAGCCGACGATTGAGCTGGTTGATTTACTGTACGGCAACTGTTGAAGGAGGGAATGGATGAGAAATATGAAGCTACAGAAATAGAAAAGGAAGAGGAATAGGATGTACTAGGGAAATAGCAGGAGGAGGAAGTGATGCTAGGAAGAATAGGTTGATAAGGAGGAGTAGGAGGGAAAGGAGAAGGAAGAGGAGTATGAGGGCGTCTCGTAAATCTGCGGCAGTGTGCCGAAGCAACAGACGCTCGCAGTAGGCAATCAGAAAAACCAATTTTGGAGAGAAAACTGCGGACGCCTGCATGACTCCGAGCCACAAGGATCCCGTGGGAATTTACTTCTTAATACTCGCTCCATTCTGGCAGTAGAGCCTCAGTGGGGCGTGGAGAAGGTGACTGGTTTTGAAATGTAGTTAATATATCATTTTTATTTTTATATAAGCATTCTTTCTATTAATTTTTGGATTTGCTGTTCTATTAATCGATCCACATTATATCATATTTTCAGTACATGCTCGACTCCCCACTTGTTATGAGGTGGAAAGAATAACTGCGTGCTCAGTTCAGTGTAATCTTTGCTTCGTTACTGAGGCCGAGGTGTGAGCCCTGCGGTTAAATTACACCACACAGCTCTTCTGCTCCGATTTGCCTTAGGTTGGATTTGAGACGAAATTGTAAACGAAACCGAAAAGTTAAATGAATGTTTGTGTTAATACGGCGTTAATGCTCTCATTGTTACGACGCCAAACAAATTATTTAATAAGAAACAAATCCAGTTACCACCCCAGTAACAGCCTCCATTACCAGCCATTCACAGCCTCCATTAACAGCCATTCAAACCTCCATTACCAGCCATTCACAGCCTCCATTACCTCGTAGGGGCCTCGTAGCCTGGTGGATAGCGCGCAGGTCTCGTAATTCTGTGGCGCGGGTTCGATTCCTGCACGAGGCAGAAACAAATGGTCAAAGTTTCTTTCACCCTGAATGCCCCTGTTACCTAGCAGTAAATAGGTACCTGGGAGTTAGTCAGCTGTCACGGGCTGCTTCCTGGGGGTGGAGGCCTGGTCGAGGACCGGGCCGCGGGGACACTAAAGCCCCGAAATCATCTCAAGATAACCTGAAGATAGCCATTCACAGCCTCCATTACCAGCCATTAACATCCTCCATTACCAGCCATTCACAGCCTCCTTCACCACCCCTTTCACTATGTTGGTTAGCATTGTATAAATCAGGCCACAGGCTACCACAGGCTTCGGCTGTGGTAGCAAAAAAAAAAAAAAAATCACCACCACCCCTTTCACGACTCTACCCACTAACCCACTCTACTAGCACCTACGGTATACCCATTCACTCTACCCCACGCTCTTCCACCCATGCTACGCCACCCACTCCCTACTCTACTCCGTCGCTGTCTTCTCTCTCCCACCCACTTTACTCACTCCCAGGCTACACCCACTCCAGGCTACACCCACTCCAGGCTACACCTACTCCCAGGCTACACCCACTTCCAGGCTACACTCACTCCCAGGCTACACCCACTCCAGGCTACACCCACTCCCAGGCTACACCCACTCCCAGGCTACACCCACTCCAGGCTACACCCACTCCCAGGCTACACCCACTCCCAGGCTACACCCACTCCCAGGCTACACCCACTCCAGGCGTCTCTCGGCTCATCATCCGACACGCCAAGCATTTGTTCAGTAATCATATCCCGAGAGCATCTGCCTTTCCTCCGCCGGGCCCGCCGGACGGAATTCTCGAAAAACTCTCCTTTCTAATTGTTATTCCTGTTGTTGTTGTTCTCGTTTACTGTTGCTGCCTCTGTTGTTATTGTTGCTACGACTAAAACTGCTGATGCAGTTATTGCTGTAGCTACTTCTACTTTAATTGCTATTCCTTTCGTTGCTGCTGTTACTCTTGTTGCTACTCTTGTGTGGCTGTTGTTACTTCCGTAACACCGCGAGAGGTCGGCCATGTATGCTCCTTTTGTTTTATAGATGTAAATAGTTTTAACTCGTCTCAGTGCCAATGACTCAATGACACTGATGAGTAATTAGTTTACACCTGAGTTGCCTTTTTCATCTTCAGCTAGGCCTACTAAATAATATATAGGAAAACCCAAGTTTTTCCCAATATAGAAACAATAGAAAACCCAATAGAGAAACTATTAACTGAAAGTAATTACGTTTTCAACGAAAATAAATACTGCAGATGTAATAATTATCAATGCAGTCAGTTTCTATTCATTATTATTTTATAAGGTTGGCCTCAGAAATGGACACGATTTTGAGTCTCTCGACTCTGTCACTTGACCTGTGTGTGTGCTGGCGAAGGTAGACACCAGGCAGCGGTCACTGCTTCCCTGGTACAGTTTCTTGGCACACTCCTGGTACAGTTTCTTGGCACACTCCTGGTACAGTTTCTTGGCACACTCCTGGTACAGTTTCTTGGCACACTCCTGGTACAGTTTCTTGACACACTCCTGGTACAGTTTCTTGACACACTCCTGGTACAGTTTCTTGGCACACTCCTGGTACAGTTTCTTGGCACACTCGTGGTACAGTTTCTTGACACACTCCTGGTACAGTTTCTTGACACACTCCTGGTACAGTTTCTTGGCACACTCCTGGTACAGTTTCTTGGCACACTCCTGGTACAGTTTCTTGGCACACTCCTGGTACAGTTTCTTGGCACACTCCTGGTACAGTTTCTTGGCACACTCTTGGTACAGTTTCTTGACACAGTTTCCTAGTACAGTTTGTTCCTACAGTTATACCTTTCCCTGAACATTTATATAGAAAATATTCGGTATGATGTATTTTATATTTGTGTATGTTACAGTTATTTGAAATAGTAAATAAGAATTCAACACTTCTTGGAAATACTCTTGATCGAGGGGGGGAAAAATCGTTATAACATAATTTGATAAAAAAAAAATATTTTTTTACAAAGACAATTTTCAAATTAACAGGAAGGAACTCTTGGGAAAACACATTTTTGTTTATGGGTCACGGACACCAATAGGCTCATGGATCACCGGTTCTGAACCTGTGCAGGGTATAAATGATTCACTTGTTTTCTCTTATATACCTTCCATGTTAGAGAAGAGGAAATAAGTGAAGCTAGTTTCTAATTTGGCGGTTCTTAAATGTTTAATTCTGTCAGTTTTCATTAATGTGGATACCGTGCAATATTGGCTGCCTCCCACTCCTTGGTCTCTTCTAGATAATTATTGGCGTGTTGTACGTTGTCGCCAATACCTTATCAGCTCCTCGGCTGCACAACACACACACACACACACACACACACACACACACACACACACACACACACACACACACACACACACACACACACACACACACACACACACACACACACACAGCAGCAGCAGCAGCAGCCCACCCTGCTAAGGTTTCCCAACGTCAAGAAAGCGGTAAATTTAAAGTGCCTTCTCTAACCTACCAGAGGACCCAAAACAGAAAACGGGACAATACGTCACTTGCGCGAGTCGCTTCCTTTTTCTAGTACAATTGTTGGCGTTGTGTAACGCATACGAGCGAAAAGGGACGTTCTTTGTAGGAGGACAAGTTGCATAACTGGCCGACCTCTCACGGTGTTCAAGAGAGAAGTTGATAAATACCTCCAAAGGATACCTGATCAACCGGGCTGTGATTCATACGTCAGGCTGCGAGCAGCCGCGTCAAACAGCCTAGTTGACCAGACCAGCATCAAGGAGGCCTTGCCAGAGACCGGCTGCGGGGACGTTGATCTTCGGGACCAACATTGTTGTTTTAGATTCAGCTACTTAGAACAAAAGTTCCAGAGTAGCACGGGCTATGGTGAGCCCGTAGTGGACTTACCTGGTACAGGAGCCGGGCATGAAACTGCCGGGACCAACAACAGGTAGGTTTGTATAGACATTGCCCCAAGGTCAAACTACTGACATTCCCCAGAATGCAATCCCCTACAACAGTTGCCTAACTACCGAGTACCTATTTTCTGCTAGGTGAACAGAGGCATTAGGTGAGAGAAAGAGTGCCAACCCGTTTCTGTCCCTCTCGGATTATTAGAAAGTAAATATGGAATATACTTTTAGTTGCGTAGACAGAAATGTTTAAAGATAGGCACACTCATAGATACAAACCGCGCGCAGGTAAAGGTAATGAGGGGAGGGAGTGAGAGGTGGGTCGTAAAGGTGTTGGTGTGGCCATTTGCTGTGGTAAGTCCCCTCGTAAACAGGATGTGTGGGTGAAGCTGCCCCTTCTGATGGGGTGAATAGCGGCGGTAGGGGTGATGGGTCCTTACTAACACACACTGACCTATTCTCACCTCTGATAATTGACTGTACCTAGAGTTGTGTTCTAGGATAGGTTGTCTTAGGACGTTGTGCTAGACTGTTTTTAACATGTGTGTGAGGTTGTGTTGTGGTGGTTGTTGTTGTTTTAGATTTAGCTGCTCGGAACTAAAATTTCCATGTAGCACGGGCTATGGTGAGCCCGTAAGAGGTTGTGTTAGGAGATCACTAGTTAACCCTCTCGACTCCAGCTTGTTAATGTTGTAGTGTGGTGGAGCTCAACGCTGGTGGTGGCGCTCACTTACAATTACGATGTAGACGTCATTAACCTGGGCTTAATGACGGGTGAGGGTAGCGCTCTATGCTCAGCCTGACTTCAGCCCTGGCCATCATTGTATCGACATGATCATCCATATTTTAGCTACTTGTAGAAGACACCTTCTGTAGAAACTTATGAGCCTTATTCTTGCCACTCTTAACAAAGTGGTTGGTCTCGAACCCGGGTGTCAACATGACGCTCTGTGCTCTATACAGTATTCTAGTTGCATTTAAGCATGAATTACATTGCACTTGTACATGTACTAGTTTTCTGAGAGCTAGAGTGTCCAAAGATATTTTTTCTTAGAGTCACAGAGCCTTTAACACACTCTTTTCGTCTAACATTAAGCTCTGATTTACTTAACATTTTAAGTCGGCTTAATATTTTAAGTCGATCACTTCAAAAGTAAAGAACTGAGAATTTCTCACCAATGGTCGACTTGAATGTATTCATTGCCCGGTGTAGATCAAATCTCAGTGTTTGACTACGATTTGATGAGGGATGTTGTGCACAATGCGGCAGTTAGTGACCAGGTAAAATTAAAGTGCCAACTGGCTTCTTTTCTTTCAACATCTTATGCATAAAAAATGTGAAACCCGGTCTTTTCCTTGAAGGCCAGTTGGCTTCGTTCCTCATGGGTGTAAATGCAGATTCTTGGAAATTGGCTACAGCTGATCATATAGATGATTATAGAACAATAGTTACCTGGTTGTATCGAGTGGCAGTGCCACCCACCATTTGTATCCAACCAAAAAATGGGTTGAAGTGTCCAATAGTTGTTATTAGTGTATGCAGGCCAGGAGCTATTGTGATGTTACCATAGTTCTGGACAAGTGTTCGGTGACTATAGTCTGCCACTAAGGCTCTCCCAACGTTATGGAATATAGCCAAGAAAGACGAAGAGACAAACATAGTACTGGAGGATGAGGACAGATAGACGGTGGAGGAGAGGCGGAGGCTAAAGACTCTAGGACAGGATCTGCTTGTGTCGGGCTGCGGTTCGAGCCTCGGAAAGAGGTGTGGAGCTTTCCCCGAGGGGCTGATTGATTCATCCTAAAGAGACAACAAGATGTAATGTTGTCATCCTTGTGAGCCTCTGTAACCCTTTCCATCACCCCCCAACGGGATAGGTATGGGGTGCATAATAAATCAATAAAATGAAATGGTAGCCAGTAGCTGGAACGTCAAACGCTCCGCTCTCTCCTTATTCCTTCTTAAGATACTACCTTATTTTCTCCTTCGTCACCCATCCTCACCCTCGTCTCACCCTTACCCTCTAACCGTTACCCCTCTTCCTCCTTAGCCTCTAACCGTTACCCATCTTCACCCTTACCCTCTAACCGTTACCCCTCTTCACCCTTAGCCTCTAACCGTTACCCATCTTCACCCTTACCCTCTAACCTTCACCCTTTGCCTGGCGCCACTTCTACTCCATCACCCCAACACGGTGTGTTCCTTGCCACTCACTTTCCTGACCCTCTCCTCACCTCACACATGTTTATCTGTTGACGATTTGCAGAGTTCTTTTACTCCCCCAAACCTGCTCTTTGGCCAGCCTTCCCTGGTGATTGTCTGGTATGTGAGGCTGTTGATCTTCCTAGCCCGAAGACCCACATAGCCGTCACAGGCAGGATAATCCAGCAACTCCCACAGAAACTTGTCCAATTCTCTCTCTTGAGACCTTCCACTGTTTTTCCAGCGACATTTCTTATATTTGTTGGCATGAGATTGAAAAATCGTGGGTCTCTTGATGTTTACAGCGTGTTCCCTATTGTGTTTATTGCACCCTGGCATTTCATTGGAATTGACTTTCTACCACTCGAGAATACAGTTTGAGTGTTTTGTGTCGATCTTGGTAGTATGAATGTTTCAGTGATTCTGTGAGTGTGTGGGGTGAAGGATCTCTGCACACTTTCCAACTCGGCAGTCTCGCGCGCCTTTTAAAAGGGACGTGAGGACCGAATAGTATTCCATACGAATAATATTCCTTGCAAGGAAAGCGCCAGTGTTCTGAAGAGAACCAACACTGGTGTGACATCCCGCGTTTTAAAAGGATCTCATTATCTACTCTTATCATTTTCCAAGCTTTTGTAATGTTTGCTTTATTAGGTTCTATAATTCTTGTGACATTATTCCAAGGTCATTGACGGTGGCGCCTTTCTATGAGGATAAGGTCTTAACCTCACTCGTTATGTTCCTTTCCTCATTCTACCCTTTCATTCCTCATGACTTCCATACACTCACACCAGTGTGTAGTGGGGTAATGCAGGGACTCTCACTAGTAGTGGTTACCCATAGAGGGCACGGAGATGGCGTCTTGACTTGGGTTAATAAAGAGTGAGGCAGCTGTAAAGTAAATTTAACAAAAAGGTAAAAATATTTGTATATTAGGTAGTATTCAGCTAGCCGCAGCTTTCTGCTGCATCCTGGGTCTGTTGTCCAGGATTGTAATGATGTTCTGTGTGGAATGTGTCACAGAGTGAAGCGTGTGTGTGTGTGTGTGTGTGTGTGTGTGTGTGTGTGTGTGTGTGTGTGTGTGTGTGTGTGTGTGTGTGTGTGTGTGTGTGTGTGTGTGTGTGTGGCCAGATAGTGTCATGGGGATCTGGAAAGAGCATGTATATTAGTGGCAGTAGAGACACTCGCCTGATCATACTGATGGAGTGCATTAGAGGGTTGTGGTGGTGGTACTCACCAGGTTCCACTGATGGAGTGCATTAGGTGGTGGGTGTAGTAGAGGTACTCAGCCGACCCCACTGATGGAGTGCATTAGATGGTGGTGGTAGAGGCACTTGCCGACGCACTCACTCTACTTTAAGGATAGAGGTACTCTACGGCCCCGCTGATTTACACTTCTCTTCATGGCTTAATGTTACGACTGGTTGAGCGCTGTTGTGTTGTTGATGGTGTTGGTGCTGAAGGACTCTGCGGTGGTGAACTGTGGTGGTGGTGGACTGTGGTGGTGGTGGACTGTGGTAGTGGTGGTGGACTGTAGTAGTGGTGGTGGACTGTGGTGGTGGTGGACTGTAGTGGTGGTAGAGAACTGTGGTGGTGGTGGACTGTAGTGGTGGTAGAGAACTGTGGTGGTGGTGGACTGTAGTGGTGGTAGAGAACTGTGGTGGTGGACTAGTGGTTATTGACTGGTGGTAGTAGTGGCCTGGTATGTTATGTTGGGCTCTCTCTCCTTATTCCTTCTTAAGATACTACCTTATTTTCTCCTTCGTCACCCATCCTCACCCTCGTCTCACCCTTACCCTCTAACCGTTACCCCTCTTCCTCCTTAGCCTCTAACCGTTACCCATCTTCACCCTTACCCTCTAACCGTTACCCCTCTTCACCCTTAGCCTCTAACCGTTACCCATCTTCACCCTTACCCTCTAACCTTCACCCTTTGCCTGGCACCACTTCTACTCCATCACCCCAACACGGTGTGTTCCTTGCCACTCACTTTCCTGACCCTCTCCTCACCTCACACATGTTTATCTGTTGACGATTTGCAGAGTTCTTTTACTCCCCCAAACCTGCTCTTTGGCCAGCCTTCCCTGGTGATTGTCTGGTATGTGAGGCTGTTGATCTTCCTAGCCCGAAGACCCACATAGCCGTCACAGGCAGGATAATCCAGCAACTCCCACAGAAACTTGTCCAATTCTCTCTCTTGAGACCTTCCACTGTTTTTCCAGCGACATTTCTTATATTTGTTGGCATGAGATTGAAAAATCGTGGGTCTCTTGATGTTTACAGCGTGTTCCCTATTGTGTTTATTGCACCCTGGCATTTCATTGGAATTGACTTTCTACCACTCGAGAATACAGTTTGAGTGTTTTGTGTCGATCTTGGTAGTATGAATGTTTCAGTGATTCTGTGAGTGTGTGGGGTGAAGGATCTCTGCACACTTTCCAACTCGGCAGTCTCGCGCGCCTTTTAAAAGGGACGTGAGGACCGAATAGTATTCCATACGAATAATATTCCTTGCAAGGAAAGCGCCAGTGTTCTGAAGAGAACCAACACTGGTGTGACATCCCGCGTTTTAAAAGGATCTCATTATCTACTCTTATCATTTTCCAAGCTTTTGTAATGTTTGCTTTATTAGGTTCTATAATTCTTGTGACATTATTCCAAGGTCATTGACGGTGGCGCCTTTCTATGAGGATAAGGTCTTAACCTCACTCGTTATGTTCCTTTCCTCATTCTACCCTTTCATTCCTCATGACTTCCATACACTCACACCAGTGTGTAGTGGGGTAATGCAGGGACTCTCACTAGTAGTGGTTACCCATAGAGGGCACGGAGATGGCGTCTTGACTTGGGTTA